CGTCGTTAAGCATAATAGCCATACAAATGTTATTAGGGAATAGTTTAAAATTTGTTTGGGAATAACTATGGAAGAATTTTAAAAAATCACCTAACCTTGGTTCTACCGGTCCTAATATGCTGCTGCTAATGATGACTAAAAAGTCTGTTGTTGATAGGATCAGTTTTACAGCATATTAAGAAAGATAAAAATAGGGTAGATTGACAAATGAAAATGTATAGAACCACAGCACCAATAACAGGCTTGTTGATGATTGTTATGTTTCTAGAAGGATCTCCATCTTCAAGGTTCTCCATAGCTGTACCGAACTTCTGTTTGAAGAGCTGGCCCTCATAAACGAAGTAGCTGACGTCGATGCAGATCTCCACTAGTTCCACGAATAGACTTTGGTTGATGTCCGTGTGGAGTTTGAAGTCATCCCATCTCAAACGAATATTAGTTATGACCAGTGATGGCATGATCAGTAGCAAATTGATATTTTTCCGCTCTCTTACGTTCTCAATATCACGACACTCACGCAACATCATTAAACTTAATCTCACCACAGTTTGGTGAGATTTGCAGCTGGTGAATTTTGTTAGCTAGATATTCCGAGCTGCGATATCACAGCTTGCAACATCAACCGCAGTTGTTTTTGTCTAAGAAAATCAAGCGTGATCTTGTTCTTTGGTGATAAATGATATTTTGATATTTTCCCAACACTGGCTATGACTAGGCTTTTCGGGATTGATGTGAAAAGTGATGTGACATCCAGTGACACTAGTACGTGGTTCGCCGGTAATTGCACTCCATTGATGAAATCGTAAAACGAAAACGAATCCTTGATGTTGTACGGACTTGGATTTTTGTAGGATCCTGCCGACGTGTTTCGCAAGGTTGTTTGTTTATTTATTTGTCATCAATCAGTGTAGACCGTTTTACAATAGTGCTGTTGCCTTACATGCTTTTTTAAAACATACGTTTTATTTGAAATTGTCAATAAATTTAGACTTTATATATAAATATCTAAGAAATATTGTTTTAAACTCAACGAGATGAAAGCCTAGTAGTAGTGTTCTCCTTACTGTATCTTCAGACATCTTTAGATCTATACGCTCACAATAATTATTATACTCTTTCATCAGTGTATTGATTGGTCCATTTTTACTATAATTCGTTCTGTGAGGTGACAGTTGAAATACATTTCGAGGTCTTAACATATGTGATTGTACGTAAAAATTTCAGCTTGCTAATATTTTTTCTGAACTAACGCGTTGTGAGATAATATTATTAACAAAGGAAATCATGGAAATTTCTATTCGTTTTTAAAATGTTTCAATGTTTATCAACATGCAACGGGACTCATAAAAAGGAAGGTGAAAAGAGTTTCCTAAGAGAAAATAAAAAAACTGTTTCTGAACTGATTCTAAACGATTTATATAAGTTTCATGGTATGGAGCCCAAACCACACTGCAATATTCGAGAATTGATCTCACGTAAGCTATTTAAAGTGTTTTGATGGTATATGGATCTTTAAAATGATAACTAAATCTTTTAATGAATCCCAGCATATTATTTGCTTTGTGAATTGTGGTATTCATATGATCTACATGTCCACTTCGAGTCAAGAATTACTCCTAAGTCCCTAATTTTATCGCACTTTACAACCAGCTGGTTTCCTAGAGTACATGTAAAATCTAGAGTAGTGTGTTTTCTGTTGCAATTTTTAACATTAATATCCAGCAGACTTTTAACGCACGAATTGTAGAAAACATCAATTTCATTTTGAAAATGTAGCAAATCAGAATTGTTCAAGATTTCCATGTACAGTTTCATACCGTCAGCATATATGAGCACATTTAAGCGATTTAACACAAACTTCACGTCATCCACAAATAAAATAAGTAATAAAGGACCTAAATGAGATCCCTGTGGAACTCCCGAGGTAATATTGACTGGCGAGGACATTTTTCCTTTAAAGCGGACCATCTGTATTCTCTCTGTCAAGTATGATCCAATCCATTTTAAAAGTGTACTTGTAATACCTAAACGTTTTAATTTAAAAAGAAGTAAGAGAATTTCTACTCTGTCAAAGGCCTTACTTAAGTCAGTGTATAAGGTTTCAACGGTATTACCTCTATCCATGGCTTCAATGAAAAAGTTTACGAATTCTAAAAGATTAGTAGACGTTGACCGACCTTTAATGATGGTGCGGTCATGTTTGGAACTACCGGTAGATTGTTGGGCATACCGCCGAGTAGGTCTTCATGGATCGGGCTGTTCGGTCGTCGATGAAATTGAGGTCTCGAAGATGTTTTACTAGGGAGTTGTTTTGATTTTGATAACAGTTGGAATGCGATCGTACGATCGCTTACCAGTGTTAACATTTTATGACGGTTGTCCGCTGTGATGAGTATGGTTAAATATAAATAAATATTTTTATAATTAAATAAATAAATATAAAGCATAGAATTATTATACTTTCTGACCCCCATGATCGTTTCTTTGCGACCAACATCGAAAATAAAATTTATAACGACCAAATTATATGTTGTACTCATAACTCATAAAACCTGTTAAGCGATGATCAAGCCTAAAATAACCTTAATAAAGTATTTAAAACAAATTAAATTAAATAAGACCTATCATTTTCATTGTCAGAATCACAATCTGAAATTGTATGATTTAAAGGCACTCACTCCAAGATTGTGACTCTCTGAAAGCGGAATTGACAGGCCTTATGTGCCAAAAACATAACTTACAACCTCTTCACGTAACTTACATGTACTTAAATCTATTGATTGCACAATTCCGACAATCCTTTTTATAGCAAACTAGCTGAGTGTGCCCGGCCTTGCTCGGGATTCAATATTAGCTTGAGTTTATGCGCCAATTAATAAAAAGCATGCTATATTCTACGTAGCCCTCTCCCCTCTTATCTAAGGGGCTACCCTCTATGACCTCCACATGGCAAATTTGTCTCCATTTGCTTGATTAGTTCTCGAGTTATGTAGAAATTTATGTTTCATTTGAGGGGTCTCGAACTATCATAAGAACCTTTCCCTGCCCCAAAAACCCCTGCATACAAATTTTCACGCCGATCGGTTCAGTAGTTTCCGAGTCTATAAGGGTCAGACAGACAGACAGAATGATTATTAATTAGATTATTGCGTGTAATTAAATTTATCATACTTGCTCCAAAAATGAAGTAATATAATAAATATTCAGTACTGTACAAATCCACAAAAAGAACTCAACAAAAAGAACTCAACGTAGGCCACGCTTATACATGTTTCAATTTTAATATATCGTTAACTGCTCTTATTTAGCAAAAAATTATAATTAATTATTTTTTAAATAAAATTAAAACAATTCCAAGACAAATTGTCAAATGATTGAAATATATAAAACATACTATCACAGCCGAACAACCGATATGCAAAATTTCGCTTTCGCTATATTTGTTCATGATCAGCCAGTCACGTTTCCCAGCCTAAGAACGCTGTCTCATCTTACCGCTATCACACGTCCCGAGAGTTGTTTTTGCACAAGATAAAACATAAAAGTAACCGGCAAAAACTGGATTAGGTTCTTCAACCATATCACAACCGAAAAGCGCTCAGGAAAGAACGAAACTCTCTCACATATTGGGTACCTACTCTCCTCTCGTATCTTGCATTTTTTTTCTTCAACATACACCGAGATTCCCACTGCACTCCCCTTCAGAACAAGTCAGTGCCTATTTCGCACCAACGAAAGAGAAATAGCGACAGATTTCCATAATTAGTCCCTCTACGATATGTGCATATGACAAGCCCCGGGGCGCTGCTACTTTGACTTTAGCCCGATAAGGGCCACTCCGATTAGCGGGCGGCCTCTTTTTTCCACCAAGATCCTTTATCTCAATCCTAATGGCTTTAAGTTAATTGAATGTCGGGATTTGACACTTTCCACCGGAGATTAATTAAGATACATGTTGTTGCTGCCATGCTGGTATTTTCTTGACTTTTCACGCTGCTGACATAAAATAAAAATGGGACCAACATTGTTTTCCATGTTTTAGCCCCCGGTGGTGATGCAGCTGTTTAAACAACAGCGTAATTACGGGTCCTGAAATTAGCTGGCTTTGCTCATAACGATGTTCTTCATTCATAGGAAATGTTTTGGTTAAATTTTGGCAGCCTATACGCAAGGAGCATACGACTTTGACCCGGGTGTTGCAAGAAAGAAAACCGCAACGTCAAATTTATTTTCGATTACAGAAAAAATATACTACGTACGTAGATGCGGAAAGCTTGAAGATGCTTTTCTTTAGCATGTCAAGCGTTTCTTTCTTTTGCTCTGGCTGGTTTCAAATTAGAGTAAAGTTCATCCTGACCGCAATGTTACACCATATGTTGCCGTTGGAAAGAATATTATGTGATGTATGTATGCAATGAATTTAGCGTATACTTGGGTCATTAACCTAACATCTCTTTGGAAATACTGTTTGGGATTAGATATCGTTGACGGTCGATCAAATTAAATGGTACTTTCTTCTATGAAACTGTGAAGAAAGTTTAAGGTTCGTTTTCCATTACTTTGCAACACCTTGTAGAAGTGCTTTCAATGTTTGCTCCGACCATATGTTTGGACTACCATCGTTACATTCTGCTGTGAGTAGTGCAAGAACAAACTATCAGAGCTCAGAGCTCGCGTGTAGCGGCTGAATGATGACCGGTCTGCTGGTGCAACAATTTCCAAGGGCAGGCCAGGCATAAAATCCTTATCCACACCCATCAAACAGAAGCGGTCATAATTTTATAGTTTTCCCCTGCTTTGTCTGACGAATGACGTTAAAATGCTCTCAAAGGCATGCTACTGGGGATATATCTTAAAGAAGCCGACTGACATCGTATTCGAAAGAAATAATGCAGAGGTAACATAATGCATAAGGATAGGTTATTCAAAGGCTGGAAATAAACTTTTCAGGATTGAAAAAAAAAACTGCAATGCAAATGAGGAGGGGTTATACTACTCACTGGTTTTGGAACGTGGCTCCCTTGGTCCATCGACGGTCACCTTGATCGCTTTGGTGTAGGTTGTCACCTGTGGTGGGGTGGTGGAGATTGCGATTGATAGAGTAAAGCTTTTCCCTGTTAATATGAAAAGAAAATACAATGGATTAGATTCTTATGTCGTAGCATTGGTGATGTTAATTAGAAATGGAATGGAAGACGCAGAAGGATTGGTTTTGCCAATTCTGAAGGGATTTTTTCGAAATAAGGTGGCATGTGATCATAATAAATTCTTGAAGTCACTATGGCGAGTATCCGCATGGTATTGTTAATGTTCATTCGCTGCCTGATGCTTCCGTGATTTCCAGAGAGAACAGACGTTCGATTGTAAGCCGCAAGTAGGACATCGTGATTTTCTTCCAAAACGCCGGCGGAATGAATTCTGATGTTGACGACTACCGGCTTGCTGTATCGGATCGTTGCTATGATGTGATTGTCCTATGCGAGACGTGGCTCGATTCGCGAACGCTTTCCAGCCAGGTGTTCGGATCCAATTATGAGGTTTTTCGTTGCGATCGGAATCCAAACAACAGCCGAAAATCTACTGGTGGTGGCGTTCTTGTGGCTGTCCGTTCCGGATTGGAGGCGAGTGCAATCGAAAATGAATCGTGGAACAGTGTGGAACAGGTTCGGACAGCCATTAAACTGGGCGATCGCACATTATTTTTGTGCGCATTGTACATGCCTCCAGATCGAGTTCGTGATCTTGAACTCATCGAAACTCACTGTCAATCAGTCTTCACAGTGATGAAAAGAGCGACTCCAATTGATGAGCTATTCATTTTTGGGGACTTTAACCTAGCAGGCGTTTCGTGGAGACCATCCCATAGCGGCTTCCTCTATCCAGATCCAGAACGTTCTGTATTTCATGCAGGAGCTATCGGCCGTCTCGATAACTATAGCGTAGCAACGCTTTCTCAAATTAACCACGTAGTCAACGAGAACATCCGTAGTTTGGACCTCTGCTTCGTGAGCACTCAGGACAATGCTCCGTTCATTTCCACAGCATCTTGTCCACTAGTTAAGCTTGTTCCGCACCACCCTCCTCTGATTGTCACTGTTGAGGACAATCTCGTTCGTGATTTCGATAGTCTTCCTGCTGCGGTTTCTTATGACTTTCGAAAGGCCGACCATCGAAGCATTGTAGATGTGTTGTCAAACATGGACTGAGAGAACATTCTCGATCATGACGACGTTGAGGCCACTGCGCAAACTTTTTCTCATGTCTTGGCATATGTCATTGACAGACACGTCCCAAAAAGAATTCACTGCAAAAACTTTCACCCTCCCTGGCAGACGATTGAGCTGCGTAGGTTGAAGTCGACCAAGAGAGCAGCATTGAGAAGATTTACGAAGTATCGCACGCTTCCTCTGAAACATCACTACGTGAGGCTTAATCACGAGTATCAGCGAGCCAGTCGTCGATGCTTTCTGCGATTTCAACGAGGTATTCAGCGTAACCTTAAACTTCACCCGAAATCCTTCTGGAACTACGTGAACGAGCAACTCAGAGAATCTGGCCTCCCATCGTCAACGGAATTGAACAGTGAAGTCGCTTCCACTCCGCAGGATATTTGCCGCCTTTTTTTTGTCAATTTTGCCAGTGTGTTCACTGATGAGAGACTAAGTGACGAGAACGCTGCAACGTAGCTCAAATCGTCCTTCAACCCTGGACCCGATGGAGTTCCGTCCGTGTTTTTGAAGAAACATATTGCTTGCTTGTTAACTCCACTTCACCGGCTATTCCGTATGTCCCTCTCCAGTGGTATATTTCCATCGTCCTGGAAATTTACACACATGTTTCCTGTCCACAAATAGGGAAGCAAACGAGTCGTGGATAACTATCGTAGAATTACATCATTACATCATTACAGCTTGTTATTATGGAACCGTTGCTCTCTCACAGCAAGCAGTATTTGAGTGCTGATCAACACGGGTTTACTGGCGGTCGCTCTACAACCACCAATCTGCTATGCCTCACATCCTACATTACCGATAGTATGACTGAACGGGTACAGACGGACGTTATATATACCGATCTATCCACGGCATTCGATAAGTTGAATCATGACATTGCGATTGTTAAACTCGACAGGCTCTTGAGTTGGTTCCGTTCGTATCTTACTGGTCGCCAACTTATGGTTGCTATAGGAGATTGCAAATCAGCTAGCTTCTTTGCCCTATCAGGTATACCGCAGGGAAGCCATCTGGGACCGTTGATTTTTCTACTCTACTTCAACGACGTGAATCTGGTTATCGAAGGACCTCGATTATCATATGCAGATGACCTCAACATATTTTTACGAATTTGCTCGATCGCCGACTGTCACAATATTCAACATCAGCTTAATGTCTTCGCCAGTTGGTGTACTTTAAATCGAATGGTAGTGAACCCAGCAAAGTGCTCTGCCATAACGTTCTCACGAAAAAAGCAACCGATTGTATCCTGCTTGGAACGACACTCGAAGGCGTGAATCAGGTGAAAGACCTGGGTGTGGTGTTGAATTCACAGCTAACATTCAGGCAACACATTTCTTATGTCATCGATAAGTCATCTTGGACTTTAGGAGTCATCATCAGGATAGCTAAGAATTTCACCGATGTCTACTGCTTAAAATCTCTTTACTGCTCCCTCGTACGATCGACGCTTGAGTATTGTTCTGCGGTTTGGAATCCGAATTACAACAATGGTGCCGAGAGAATCGAATCTGCTCAACGTCGCTTTCTTCGTTTTGCGCTTCGTAGACTGCCCTGGAGAGATCCGCTTCGGCTGCCCAGCTACGAGAGTCGCTGCCAACTGATAAATCTTGAATCTGTGTTCAACAGAGTCGCATCTGTATTCGACTTTCACCTCACACGTGATGCGCTTCGTCGGAGATTCTCATTTGTTTTCGCCGGCCGCAGTGACTGACAGAGAAAATTAGTGTATTTCCATTTATGTTTTTTATATTCTGACCATGTTGCTTTGTTTTTCTTTCTGTGATTATTTGACATGTAGTTTTACTATTATTATTATTATGATTAGTATTATTAACATCATTTGGGCTACAGCCAGCCTGTTGATGTATGGCAACAATTAATAAATAAATAAATAATAAATACAATAAACACTATTTAGTCAGCTATAATGTTTCATTTGAGCTAGAGCCTTTATATTCAGCTTTTGAACAGTATTTTTTTTTTTTTTTTTTTTTTTTTTTTTTTTTTTTTAATATTTTTATTAAGGAGACTTTCAACCGTTGGCTGGCTCGTCTCCCTTTTGAACAGTTTAAGCGCCATAGCGTATTTTATGATTAAAGAAATCTTGCAGAAATCTTCGGAATACTCCAAATTGACTGTACCCTTCGATTCCCTTTACCAAATCCATCGCAAAACGCCCCCAAGAATATTCAATTTAATTTATAACAGGTACTTTAACTATATTTATGTTTGTATTTATACTTAAAGTACATAACTCTAAATGGGAGCTAACCATCAATCATACTGTCATTGGTCGAAAGGTACAGTAGCAGCACCTCCCCTACCCGTGTATCCTCGAGATTGTCAAGTCAACGATGACAGGAGCACATACAAGTGTTAGAGGTAACAATAGCTGCAATTTCCAAACGACCAGATGCCTTCCTTCAGATAACAACTTGAGTGCGGTACAATCGATAGAACTGTTTCAAACACATCGTCGGTACATGAGCGAGTCGGTGATCATCTATTTTTGCCAATGGTGGCGGGGGTAGGGGTGATACCCCTCACCATCCCTCTCCAACGGGGGAGTTTGGTCAAGAGAGATGATCAAACCGATTTGTACCTTCCTCAAACTTGTCCTTGCTCGCCTTCTACTCTCTATATAAAATTTTCATACTGCCGTACTATAACGGAACTATCAACTCCAAACTTTGATATCTTCATCTATCGTATAAAATGACCACTTTAAGTCTGTTATTTGAAAGTTGGCATCTTCAACTAAGTTTTTTTTTTTTCCTCTGGTTTGTTTTTTTCCGTCGATCTTGTTTTCCGTGCTGAGCACCAATGCTACCGACGTGCCAGGAAGGCAGCTTCCATACCTGGACCCTACCTATCGACCCATCAACTCATGAACCGGGGACCAACGGCTTTACTTCGTTTCCGAAGGAAGGCGTGATCAGAGATGTTATGCCTCAGAACATCCCGGCGGCGCCGACTGGGATTGAACCCAGGCCTGCTGGGGTGAGAGGTAATCACGCTTACCACTACACCACCGGCGCCGTTACCAACTAAGTTTTAATAGGTGTTTGGGTAACATAAGTTAGAGTCTTTAAAGTGTCTCATTTTGTATAGCTAAGCGCGTTCAGAACTTTCCAACACAATGGGCCAGCAATTAGGTGACAGCAGAAACAAATTGTGTCAACAAACGTTGAATGGACTTCCTTTCGAGAAAGCAAAGAGTGCGGTAGTATTGGCGTTGCTTTGTACCGTTTTACAGCTTTCACTTTGATACGGTCAGTTGGGGGTACGTCTCCTTGTCGCATTTATGTGTCGTGTCTCGGTTAGTACCTTTTGTTCTCGCCGTCGGAAGACCGAAGCCCACCATGAACGGAATTGCCAATTTTGTGAAGGCACTGGATGCGAATCACGATTATATGGAAGCAACGTACCGGATAGCGGAGGAGAATGCGGTTCTCATCAAGTTCAAGTTGGAAGAATCAATGCGTTTTTCGGTTTCCTATAAAATTCTCTTATATTTTCACAATATCCATATCGGTGGAGAAAACTAACAAAGAGTAATGATTTTGTATGGATTAAACAGCACTTTAGCTAGTTAGCTAGCACTTTAATTAGTTTGGTTTGCCCAATTTTACCTGACTTGCAGATGTTGGTCTAAGGAATAGTGTAATTGTTGGACCAAAACCATTAATAAATCATAAAATACAAAAGATATCTAAAATTATCTCGTACTTACAGAGATAAAATGACGAATCTTTATGATACAACAAAGCTTTAAAAATATGTCGATGATGAGGAATCGCTACCAAAAAAGCTATTGAGAAAACATTGACATCCATACAAAAACGTTACATATCTCTTAAACTGTAAAAGAAAGAGGG